TCCATGGTAACCAAGGCTCTAAGGTTCCTTCTTTTCACAAAGGACATTAACTTGCCAAGTTTGGGGAAGATTCGTAGAAAACTGGCTATGATATAGCTAATCAGTTTTTCATCTGAGAGCCATGCCTTAATGACGCTGAGTGAATTCTTTCAAAGTCAACTAGCATTAGCGAAAAGAAAAAGACAGCAAAGAAACATAATATTGTACATTAAATACACATCCACATTTTGGCGGAAACCACCCCTCATAAACTTGACCCATTTTTTTCCCTCAGCCCTTAAAAAGACTAATATATCTAATCTAACGCGCAATCTAAAAAACTTGACTGAGACCAAGATTTTAGGTCGTTAGACATGCGCATGCTCCACATATTCTGGTTTGTGGTATAAATTCAAACCTTTTCTTCTTGACAAGGGAAACAATCAAGCTTATGTATACAACAGTTTTTATTCATGAGACAGTTTGTCTGTGACTAACATCTTAAAAAATAAGCAAGTAATCGAGACCCTCCGTGTGTTACGTGTAGTATAACCGACCTTGCTGTAGGTAAAAAAGCCTGAATTTCTCTTAATTTTCGAGCAGAAGTTACATCTGCTCGTGAATTAAAATATGCCTTGATAAAATTTACTCTTAAGCTGTATATTTGTTAGTATATTTGCCATTCAGTCATTTATTGTAAAATCTACGAACCGGAAACATGATTATGCAATAAATAAATAAATAAATAAACCAATCAAATTAACGGTCGATTTGTGTGTTATCAGAGCCTTCGGTTTTCTCGCGAGAAAGCTGAGAAGGATTGGGGTGCTCGAATAAGTCCATATGTAATATCATTTTTGAATTTTTCAGATTACTCGAGAAACTACGCTATTGTTGGGGGGGTCCTTGGAGGATTCTTGGGTTTTCTGTTAATAGTCGTTGGCATTACATCTTATTGCCGTCGAAGAAACAGACGTGACGAACAAAACAGACCGCTCATCATTGATCAACCCCGTTACGGCCGTGCTGTTATCCCTCGCATACCCGATGAAAATCTTTCACATCCTATTGAAGTACATTCTAACCCTGAAGATCAGAGCGGTGAAGAAATACCTATTGAACCTGTACATACACAAAGGGAACCAGTAGAACACAGTCTTGAGTCATCTTTGTGATTTAGAACCGTGAGAAATCGTGTAAACCTTTTTCCTCGTATTTGATGTCGAACATTTATATTCAATAATTTATAATTAGCATAAATACACAGGGGATTTTTGAAAATCTCTCGCGCTGATTGGGCGAGAAACTCAGATTATCACACGTTAAAAAACTTATTAATAATTCATGAAGGAAACACAATAGAAATCATGAACATGAGGAGGTTTTATATCTGATGTACAGTCGCGGGACATATATATTCGTCACTTTTTACGTTGCGTGATAAAATTTCTCTCCCAAGCTTTGAAAAAGAGCGCGAAAATGTACGAAAATACAACGCGTGCCGTCATTTTAGGCGGGAAAATCGTTACTACTAAAAGAGACAACAGATAAACAATCACTGAAGAAAGTTTTTGATTTAAAAGACGTCGTCGAAACAAAAGAAACTTCACTTGAGCTTTTACCAGCTCTTTGCCGTTTCATCGATTGTTGAACACTTACTGTATAGACACTTATAAGACATGGAAATCAATCTGCCCTAAATGCTGTACTACGAATGACATTACTAGCAAACCATTATGTTGCTACTGAACTTTACTTAGCATATCATTATGATATGTCTCAATATATCATATGATTCTATTCTCATATCTTTTTCTTATTTACATCAAGTTGACATTACATTGCAAAAATTAAGTTCAAAGTGGCGCGAGAAAAATTTCAGTAAATTCCGCCGTCTCGAGATTGACGAATACATCTGTCCCGCGACTGTAGATTCGGCTTCATTTGCATAACTTTAACTTGGATTTTCTCTATCAAACTTGGTTCATTTCGTAAAGAATTCAGTACAATATGAGAACATACATCATGACTTTTTTAGGCCGTTCAATAAAATCGCAGATCGTGTTTTGTCAGGTCTAAAAACACTCGGCTAAGCCTCGTGTTTTTAAATCCTGATGAAACACTTCTGCTCGTTTATTAAACACTACATAATCAGATCCAACGATAATCCAAGATGGCGGCCAGCTGCTTCCTTGTGCTGGTACCGGAAAAAATGTGTCTTTTCTTTTTTTTTTTTTTTTTTTGGAAAGAATCGCCTGAGTATTTATACTTTAAAAATTATTCACCTCAGGCTCAGTGTGAATATCGGGAATAATAACCTCAACTTCGTTTCACCGATATTCACCTCGCCTTCGGCGAATAATTGTTAAATAAAATTAACGATTTCCAAATAATGTCACTCAATTTAAAGGTTTGGCGTCATCACGTGATGGCATCCATGACAGGATGCAGAAATATTTGAATCTGGTCTAATCTGATTTACAGGAGAAAGAATTCACTTTACCAGGGAAAAAAGACTATTGCTGTGGCTCGTGTCATGGCTGGTGTCACGTGATGGTGCAAAGCCTTTATTGGAGCTATTAACTGATCACGTGAAAAACTCCTAATGTTATGTAATAAAAACAAAGATAAGTGATCATGATGATAGCTTGTTTTCTAAAAGACTGACAATCAATGTGGCATAACTTTACCACAGTATAGTATAGAAAGTTGTGATTTGTACTGTTTTTAGTTAGTTTTTTGTACTGTTCTTATTACGAAGGATACTCAGTTTATACATTATATTTCAACACATATGGTTATGAGGTTGCACCTGTGACAAGTTGTGTCCTTTATAAAGTAAAAAATATAACAATAAATGTTATATGCATCTTTTCAATTTTATAGTGAACAAAATCCCAAATTGGCTTGTGACCCCTCCTCTCCATACTTAAGCAATTAGCTTCTACCCCCACTACCCTACACTCCAATTTGGTAATAGACCTATTTGGTTCGTACCCATATTCATGTCCTCTCATATTCAACAGTTTGACGTTGACCTCGAAATTTCCAAGAAACGTGCCTGTCAGTTTGCTCGCGTACAGCTTGGCTCTTTAAATAATCGACAAAGATCTATCGTAAAGAGCTGCAATCCCGTAGAAGCCAGTAGACCTAGTAGAGTTGGTTCTAAAGGAATGTTTTAATTAAGGGAATTCGTCAAAGCCTGTTTTGTGGTCAAGTTGAAGCTCAATATAGATAGGCAATTCCGATCCTGGTACTAAAAGTATTGGTGAGTTCTGTGAATATAAAACCATCCAAAAAAACAAGGTAAGCAAACCAGATAAGATTTTAATCGTTTTAAGCAATCAAAACTGTTTCTTTTTTTCCCTTTTTGTTGCATCAATATGTCACAAAAATCACAATTTACAAAACCGGAAATGAGGGAAAGCTTTTCCTAACATCGCTACTGTTCGATTTGTGCTATCACAAACATAACGTTAAAGGCAATCCAATTTGTCTGATCAATACTGGTAGAGTTCTTGCATAAAAACTCAGTTCTCGATGCACTTGAAATCATGGGTTAAATAAAATGAATAGTTGGCTTCATTACTACCATGATTTGATTACAACGGACGAGCTCGTGACTTGCTTGCCATAGCGTGTACTCGTGTTATTAAAAGCAAAAGCAATTTTATTATTACGATAAGTTTTTTTATTATTAACTAATATGATACATTGTGTTTTAAACTATGAATATCGCTTTGTTTTTCAGTCAGAGTTCTTCTAATTTTGCACGCAGAGATTTGTTGTTTGTGATGATCATTCTTTAAGATTTTGATTAGGGGATTCCCCAGTCACAAGCTATGATACAATGCTCAAAAATATTGAGTCTAAAAAATAAATAAATAAAACAGAAGCAGAAACAACAATCTTTTCTTCGATAAACATTTATTTGATTGTTTTTCTTTATTTCTTCATTTCAATTTTTTTCTGCAAAAACAGAGTCATCATTTGCTTGGAAACTCAATATGTCAAGACCAGTAACATTTCATGTTACCATCAAGTTGTTTCTTCTCCTAGTCAGTAGCGTGACACTATCAAATGGCAAAACAGGCCTCAGTTTAAACAATTGTTCCTGTTTTATGTCTGGACAATACTACAATCTCAAGTCACTAGCACGTCTGCACGGTGGGCCAAGGTAATATATCAAACGTGAAGTCGTATATCGAAGTGGATAAGCGGAATAGCGATCTAGTAAATGTGTATGAGAATATATATGAAATTATAAATTGGTGGGGAGGGCCATGTTTTTTAGAATGTGTGTTTGGGGAGGGTTTTTTTTTATAAATAATGGGTGTAGGGAGGGCGACAATTTTTGACTTAAGAAAATGAAATGTTAATAGTATATTTTTTCCATCAGGATTTCTGGTATATATATTTTTGGGGAGGGTCATAATTTTCTATATCCTATTTAAGGGATATACTTTTTTTTTCTTTACCTTTCAAGGAAGGGCCTCTATTTTCTTGACAGGGTTCAATGCAAATTTGGTGGCCCACCACCCCGATAGATAATGATATCTCCCTTAGTGCCAAATTTGTAGGTCTCCGGTCTCCTCAGGTCTTTACTGAACTTACTAATTTGTGCAAATCTGTGCAATTTCTTACACAAACTTTTCACGGATACATCATTGGTATGCACTCTACCAGCAAATATCTATGAAATGCAGACTAAATTTCCAAGAACTGTCCATTGTCTGTCTTGTTTTATATATGTGTACCATGATTTCATATGTTTCTTTTTACTAGTACAGTGATACATAGAGTGGTTTTCATAAACCCATGGCCAAAAAAATAAATAAATATAGAAGAATTAGAGAATTAGAGTGTAATATAGCACTAAATACGAATAAGCTGAAATGCATTTCACGAGTTTATGAAAACCACACTCTTATAGATAACTTTTACTTATACAAAATATTTTTATATCAGTATCTAGTCGTTCTAGCGCTTATACGCACTAATTATGGATACTGTCATTCAAACGCACTACCACTGCATTAAAACCGAAGAACCTGGACTGAAAACCCTCGTAGCAAGGGAGAGAACAACACATCAAACAAATTCAACTCACGTTCTCGGTCCGAGATCTGAGATGTGCGATAGGAGACTGAATCGTTGTGCTTTTATGCTTTCTTGCTAAAATACGAAAAAATCACATTTCTATTTCGAAGGTCATGCATTGTCATGCATTGGGCTTAGATGTAAGATCTCTGACCGAATACGTTTTCAGTTCTATTTAGATATCTTCTAGCTATTTATGAATCCTTTTTCTTACATCATCTTTTTTGTATAAGATTTCAGACTGAAAAGAATAACTGGAATTATGCTTATAATCCATGCATACCATTCTCCATTGAACCTCCCTGTGAAGACGTGGCGGTAAAGTTAAAACTACATTCGCTTTTCTGAACTTCAGGAAGTCTGGTAACGATCTCGTAATGTATGGGACCGTGGAGCTGAAATTTGAGACCCAAAATGGGGGAGTATATGAGTACTACTGTAGTTCCACTATCCCGTACACAATAAGGTCCCAGATCTTTAATTCTACGATTGCACGTTACGTCATCGCGGCCATGCATGTGCAATTTAACAAAACTAACTGAGATTTCTCATTAGCATGCATTGTTAATGGCATCGCAATGGTCGCCATATTTTTGTCTTTTGACTCTGGGAATGCTTGCAACCCATGAAATTCCGTCTTTCTTTGGTGAAATAAGCCTGAAGCGAGATGACGTTTTACCCCCGTCTCTAGACCATAATCCTTTTCACACTGCTTTTATTCTTTAATTATGACTATTGTTCCTGTGTTCTCTAAGGAATCAAAAATTTTAATATGAAAGAATTTTAAAAACTATTATGGTATAGAGTCGGGGGTAAAACGTCATCTCACTTCAGGCTTATTGAAAAAGGCGAATTAGGTTATTTACACGATGACAWAATTTTACATTAATTGCATAGCGATTTGTTTTCTTATTCAAAGTTTCATCGCCAACAGGACATTAGCATTATGGTGTAATTAACTACAAATAACAG